TATTATTATTATTATTATTATTATTATTATTATTATTATTATTTATTAGTTTTGTATGCCGCCCACTCTCGGAAGACTCAGGGCGGCTTACAATAAAAAGGGAAGGGGAATATAAAAATAAAAACAACAGTTTAAAATTGCAACAACATTCATAACTTAGAATGGCCGGAACAGCCAGGTCTTAGTCGCTTTGTGGAAGGCCAGAAGGGTAGTAAGGGTCACTGATGATTTAAGCTCTGCTTCCTGACCCAGGGGAAGGAGTTCCCTTCCGTGAGTGGAAGAGAGCCGGCAAACAGCTCTTTCAGCCAGTCCCTAGAGATGATAGGGAGCCAAAATGCAAGCAGGATTTTCAGCTCTTCAGCAGATAGATAGATAAGATAAGGAATATTGGATGGCTCAGGTAGGTAGGGAAGGGCCTGGGAGGCCTGGTGCAGCAGCAAGCAAGTCTCTTCATTCAGGGGCTGTAAATCCTGCTTGAATTTTGGCAGGGAGGATTTTCAGCTTCTGAATGGAGGCTCCCAAGTTCCCAAACAGGCACCCTGCATCCCTTACTTGGGACTTTGTCCACTTAACAACCACAACCAGGAATGCCAGGATTGTGATCACTGAGCAAAGCAGTCATAGGGGCAGTCACATGACATCTTGCTTAACTGCTTTGCTCATCAACCAATACAAAATTATAGTAATTAAGTGAGGACCAAGGACAACCTGTAAAGTCCTTCATGGTTTGGCATCATAATATGTGAAGGAATATTTCTTCCTGTAATTTTCAATCGTAGTTTAAGATCCTCTTCAAAGAAGACATTCTCCCAGGGCAATAATGGTTAGTGACCATTCACAGTTGCTAAGTGAAACCAATGATTTGCAGTCAGTGCATTTTTCCCCAAAACTGGCAATTTTTTGAGATGGAGAGGGAGGGAGGGGGAGTGGGGAGGAGAGAGAGAGAGAATTTTAGTCCTGCCTTAAGCAAAAAGCTAATTGTGTGACTTTGGGCCAGTCACTTCCTCTTAGCCATAGGAAACTTCTAAAAAAACCTTGCTAAGAAAACTGCAGGGACTCCCAAGCAAACACCAAGAGTCAAATTGCACAGGATATTAGAAAATGCCTACAATATTCTGGCATTTGTCAAAGCTGTTATAAAATATAGTCAGCAGGACAATGCAAATGGCTATATGTGCAACCCAATTGTCAAACACCCAAAGTGCAATCATGTGAACTTGGTGTATGTGTGAGGGGGGGGGGGGGAGAGACTGTCAGAATATAGAATCTGGGTTGTAAGCCCCCCAAAGTATATCAGAATTTTGAACTGTTGCTAAGCAACTGTTCATAAGTCAAGTACTACCTGTACCTATATTTTCATTCTCTCGGGTATTTTAATCAATTGATGTGTTTGCTCTTACTGTTTTATACTTGTAATGCATTTTAATTGTGATTTATCATATTTCAGTTTTCATTTAAAATCTCTACACACTATTGTAATTTTAGTGTTCTACAAGCAGCTAGATATTTACTTGTTTTGAAGGACAACACACACATTTTTAGAAGCCTGTAAAAAGTAAATCAAGAAATTGAAAAGCCTAAGAGCATCCTAGCAAGACTAAGGATAACAACATAAGGTCTCAATATATACAGAAAGTTAAACCGGATTATTTTACCCATGGTTTGTTGAGTAAATCTGTGTGGCCTGGCCATATCTAAGTATTACTGAGTGAGTCTGAATATCAAGCAAGGCCAAAATCAAACAGATATCAATATCAAGAATATATTTTTCATCATTCTTGTAATTATAAAGGCACATACAATTTAAAAATTGAATGAAACATCAAAATCTTACCAGAAGCATAAAAATCAGGGTCAAAGTATGCCATGAGAAAGAAGTTGAAGACAAGTAGCAAGAAACCAGAAAATGTTATCAAATTTGGGGCCAGCCACTTAGGGAAAATCTAGGAGAAAGCAAGTAAAAACACAGACAGAAAGTTCATATTAATGGACACAGTAATTTTCATCAAGGATACATAAACAAGAAAATAAACAAGAAGAAAAGAACTATCCATTTGACATAAGCCTTTTTCCCCTTATTGTTCTATAGCAGCAGAAAATAAAATTCAATCCATAAGGTGACTTGCACGTACATGATCAAGAAGAAGGGAATCTTCTGGATTAGCCACAGAGAAAAGGAAAGGGGTCATATCAATGTCAAATGGATCATAATTTTTGTTCTACTTGCAGAGTGTTAAACGTAGCCCAAGTATAGCACAGAAAGCACAGTCAAAAAGGGCGGACAAGAGGTTTACTCACCTTAACTACAGTGTTCCAAAATGGATGCATGACATACAGGGAAATAGGGTTGCTGTCCACAGCACTGTACTATAAAGGAAGCCAAGAGAATAAAGAGGATCAGCCTTAGAAAGTTGTTCTTGGAAACTTACAAGTAGGACATCTGCATTCGTATCATCTCACAATTCTCCAGAATCAAGCAACATATTGTTCCATGGAACTCAGAAACCTCTACATCAGGGGTGTCAAACACAAGGCCGGATCGGGCTCACAAGGCCAGATTGGGATCACAAGGCCGTCCTGGAAAATGTAAGGGGCTGTCCCGCGTGGCTTTGGCCCTGTCTACCCAATGCAAAGAGGAAACATGCTAGCAGTTTGGGGAGTGGCATCAAGCTGGCCATGCCCACCCACTTAGCCACGCCCAGTGAGTGGCATCAAGCTGGCCATGCCCAGCCAGTTGGCCACACCTGCCCGGCGCCCCAGGGTCAACCACAGCCCTAATGTGGCCCTCAATGAAATTGAGTTTGACACCTCTGCTCTACATTATTCTCTTTGACAATCATTTCTGGAGAGGCATTCCCTAATGCTCTTTACACTTGACAACTACACTTCAGGGCCAGGTTTCATAAAACTTGATAGCGGCATTGTACAGCTCAGAATACAACTATTTATAAATATCTTTTAATTTCACAACCTCAGAGTGAGGGAGAAAGAACACCTCTAGTAATATGATGGCTATGTCAATTCCACAAGATCAACAACAGGGAAGAATGAGTACCAGCAGTAATCTATTCCAATTGATTAATAGTGAGAAAGCCCATGTTATAGATCATAATTAGGTTGGTCTTTCTCATATTGAATATTGTATTATTTCACAATTAAATGGAACAGATGTGACCACCTGCCAATGTTCATGTAACTGCTTGTCCTTCAGCAAAATTTTAAATCTGGCTAAGCATCCATATAAGTAATCCACATTAAAATCACTCCAAATTGTCAATCAAACTTCCAAATTACCATTCTGTTTGGTTTGATATGCTTGTCTCTCTGATGAATGAGGATTACTTCCAGACAAATAAGGAGGACTAGGTTCAAGGGATTATCTATGAGTTCAATACATTTGGGTTGTGAGTTTGCATAAAGCACTTTCTGGATGGTAGACAATGGAGCTTAACACATATATGCATACACACATAATTCTGCTATGTTATTTCAGAGTGATAGTGGGTGGTGGTATGTTCCTGGAAAGGATGAATGAAGCAATTTGGCAGTTTATGCCAAGACTGTATACTCCTACTGGAGTCACCCAGCTAAGCAAGTGGGCACTCATATTAGGCAGCAACAGTAGATGCTGATGGCACATGATCACAATAGAGACAACAGTAAAGACACATTTGCAAACTGTGCTTGGGAAGGCAATAGTAAATAATTATTGTCTTTTACCACCCCACCCTAATAGGTAAGATAAAGAATTATATATTGTAATGTCAATTATGTGCCCCTGAATTTGAATGGCACACCACATACCCTGTTTCCCAGAAAATAAGATCTCTCCAGATAATACGTCCAATCGTGCTTTTGAGCGCATGCACTAAAATAAGCCCTCCCCCGAAAATAAGCCCTCCCCGGAATATTGCAACACAGCAGCAGTCATGAGGTGACCACACTCGCCTCCTCCTGCACCTCAAAAATAATAAGTCCCCGCCAAAAATAAGGTCAAGTGGTTATTTCGGGGGTCAAAAGAAAATAAGACCCTGTCTTATTTTTGGAGAAACACGGTACTTTTGAAGAAAAGCTGGGGATCTTTTAGAATTCTGATAATGTTTATGATGTTTATAAGCCCCATTTGCTCACTGTTGAACCTTATCCAGAGAGTTATCAATCTTATTGTTGGAACAATCCATACGTATTAATGGGCAAATTCTCAGTAGTGAGTAGTGGAATCAGGCATAGAGAAAGATAAGATGATGGAATGCTCCATAACTTTTCCTAACAAGTTCAGCTGCATAATAAATTATATTTAATTATGGCTTGGCAAAATATGCTGCTCCTTTTTGAAGAAAATTGCGCTGTTGTTCTCTGGCAAATGAGACAAAAATGGTAACATTATGTTATTTCACCATAGAGGCATGATAGCACTTGAAGAATTTAACCTGCATCTCAATATAATTTGAATTCTGTGAGTAGAGAAAGAACGTTGGTCCTTACTTGAACGTTCATTTTAAGTAGAATTGAGGGAGGGGTCACTGCTGGGATATCGCCAAAGCCTGATTGGTCCAGAGACTGAGGGAAATTTCTTTTATGCTTCGTCATTCCCTGTTGGTTTCCAGTTTCCTCGAAGTCACAGTACAAATCTGCCAAAAAAACAAACATACCACACACCACCCAACCCTCCACCTGACTAGCTGACTAAGTCTTACTCGGAGGGATGTGACCCCTCCCTCAATTCTACTTAAAACGAACCTTCAGGTAAGGACCAACGTTCTTTTACCAGTAGAATTGAGGGAGGGGTCACTGCTGGGACATACCCAAGCTCAGTCCCAGGGAGGGAGTAAGACCCAGGGGGAGGGGGCGGTTGCTACCTGCTGAAGAACTCTGCGTCCGAAGGACGCGTCAGCAGATGCAAAGGAATCTATTCAGTAATGTCCTATAAAGGGACCAGGCGTCCGCCCAACAAATGTCCTCGAAGGGGGTCCTAGTAGGCCACACGGCAGTAGTAGGGGCACTCCACGTGGAGTGGGCCGTGATCCCCGCAGGAGGAGACTGGCCTGAGGACTCATAGGCAGTGGAGATTGCTTAGCGTAACCACCTGCCAAAAGTGGCAGATGAAACCCTAGCTTCCAGAGAACCGGGCTGAAAGGAAATGAAGAGGGTCTCAGACTTGCAAAAGGTCGCCGTATGCCGGATATAAATGTGCCGAGCGCAGCGGACATCCAAACAATGCCAAAGGCGTTCCCTCTCATGGAAAGGAGCAGGACAGAAGTTGGGAAGGATGACCTCTTGGGCCCGATGAAAAGGGGAATTGATCTTTGGGAGGAAAGTAGGGCCCAGGCACAGGACCATTCTATTGTGGTGAAATTGACATAGATTGTCCTTGGCCGAGAGGGCCCCAACTCAGAGATGCGACAAGCAGAAGTCATCACAACTAGGAAAGCCACCTTGAGAGATAAGAAACGGAGGTGGATCGTCCGTAACGGTTCAAGGGGAGCCTCAGTTAGAGCCCACCAAACGAGGGACAGGTCCTACATGGGGAACCTATGGATCGGAGGGGGCCTAAGGTTGGCTGCACTCTTTAGAAACCTCTTTATCAAAGGAAGATGGGAAAGGGGGGGAAGTTTGTCTCCAACGAGGACAGATGACAGAGCAGCCACCTGACGTCTCAGGATATTATGAGAGAGACTCGCATCCAGACCTTTCTGCAAGAAGTCTAGGACCTGCGCAACCGAAGCCTCGGTCTGGCAGATACCCAGAGGGAAACACCATTTGGTGAACGTTGACCATGTCGAATTGTAGATTTGTGTGGTGGATGGTCGCCTGGAGACCTGGATGGTCGCTATGACTCGGGAGGAAACACTAGAGACAGGAGTGGGTTCTGGCAGACACTACTGCTGGTTTGCTCGTGTGCACTTCATGCACGCTTGATGCATGCTGCATGTGCAGTGCCATTAAAACTGTTCTGCACATGCGCAGAGGGGAAAAAACAAGATGGCGCTGCCGGGAGAAACAATTCAGGGGTGTGTGGCAGGCCTGGGTCGCTGCCGGTTCCAGCGACCCAGGCCGCCAAACCACTACAGGTTCAGCTGAAACTTTATATAGAATATTTTCATGAAATATTTGCAAAAATGAACTTAAGACAGACTGGTCCAAACTGGAAAAGGAAAAAAGTCCTAATCCATCAATGGTAAACAAAATCTCATTATTGCCTTAAGGACAAGCCAGAGGTGACGAACTACAAGTAGTCCTCAACTTACAACAGTTCACTTAGTGACTGTTCAAAGTTATATCACTGAAAAAAGTGATAGATGACAATTTTTCAGTTATGACCTTTGTAGCATTTCCATGAATACTTATGACCGTTGCTGTGTCCCAAGGTCATGTGATCATCTTATGCGACCTTCTGACTAGTAAAATCAATGGGGAAATCAGATTCATTTAACAACCAAGTTACTAACTCATCAACTGCAGTGATTCTCTTAATAACTGTGGAAAGAAAGGTCATAAAATGGGCTAAAACTCACTTAACAAATGTCTCACTTAACAACAGAAACTTTGGGCTCAATTGTGGTCATAAATTGAGGACTACCTGCACACTTCCCTTGCTACATAGGCACCAATGACAAGGGAGTCCCAGTGCTTTGTTGATTGATTTCTTTCACATTAAAAGGCACTAAAGGAGCCTGGGCTCTGTAATCTAAGGAAAGGCAGGTAGGAAATAAAGCACAGAAAACTGTCATTTATGTTCTCTTGATGGACTGAATATATGCCATCATGTTGGTGTCAACTCTAAGCAGCCAGAGATTTTCTCCGAACCTGATCCTTCATATATACAAGTAATCTTAAATTTATGTCCGTAGTAGAGCTCAGAATTTCCATCATATGTCCTGACGATCTTAAGTAGAAGCAGCCACATGCCTGGCCTGTTTTTTTACAGCAGCCATTAAGGAAATGCAGTAGTCATAAAGTAAATATGGCATCATTAAGCAAAACCAAAAATGACAGTTTATAACAACAACAACAACAAAGGTAAACTGCAGTCATGTGACCGGCAAGATCCTGCAAATGTGGACCAGTTGTCAAGCACCCGTGAGACTACCGGGCGGGGGGGGGGTCTGAATATAACAGAACCATTGTTAACCGACCAGCTATAAGTCAAGGACTACCTGTACTATATTTCTATAGTAATGCAAAAAAAACTTCTATGGAAGAAAGTTGAGATCTGTCAAAATAGTAATCTTGCGGAATACATTCTGCAGCTGTGTTCAGATACTAGCTTCAGTTTTCAGATTATATTTTTAGAATGTTAACAGCAGTTTTATTAGAACTACACTATCTGTTCTAACACCATTTTTGCCCAATGGAAACCTCCAGGT